AGCTGGACTGTACTGACAATGTCCTGCCTGGGAAGACCAAGATATATTAATATTGATAATTTATATAAAAGAACATGGGGTTTCAAATATAAAACTAGTCTACTAAATGACAAAATATCAAAGGGGTTTATGTAATCTAGACAAACTAATCTGAGTAAATACTGGCAGTCTATAAAATTATACAATAATATAAATAGAGTGAAACTGAGTGAGTGGTCTGAATGACCTGTTAGTTTTAAAATTTTGTTTGGCATTGTCAATGTGATATGTATCTAAATAACTATTGTGTTAGGTTATGACAGTTTGAGTCAATGAGAATCTTCTCACCCTGCATCAGACGGCAGAGGTCCTCTTGCAACCCAAAGGTAGCAGAAGTTCCGTGGATCATTTTCTGGTTCTTGGTAGGCAAAGTGTGTTATGGGGCACACATCGTCAATGTCTAACTTGGAGCTAAAACTGGAACAGAAATTAAACATAGAATTTTTTCTTAAACAAACAAATGAAAAATGAACAGAAGTTTTAGTTATTTTAAATCAATTTACTTTTTGACCAATGCAGTGTTTGGTTAAAAACGTGAACTAATTTGAGTAGTCAGCAATTAGGAAAGAAACATTATTTTTCTGAAGAAAAACTACATTTGGAAAAAAATTATTTGACTGAAGAAAAAGGTAGAAAAGACACTTGCAAAGACATTTTGATAATAACATAATGATTTATCATAAGATGTAATTCAACTTCATTATTCTCCAAGCTTCCACTTACTCTAGTACAGGTTCATAAAGCCTCCACATCTGGAAACAACCAAAGTTAAATCCCACGATCAGAGTACCTATAGGGTGAACAAACTTCAGGCTGGTCACAAATACCTCCTCTGGAATAAAAAAGGGATATGACTTTACAATCTCTGGGTAATTTAAATATAAAGCAGCAAAGCTGCCCAACGTACAGACACAATGCAGAAAATAATGATGCACAAAATAGTCTACTGTCAATTCTGATGCAATTACACTACGCTTATTTACAATAGGGTGAACAATCTTCAGGCTACTCACAAATACCTCCTCTGGAGTTAAAAAAAAGTGATTTTGCAATGCCTGAGTAATTTAAAAAATATAAAAAGATGAAATAGTAAATAAAAAATATGAAATCAGAGAAAAAAAAAAAGCTCAGATACCTGCAATGTAGGACTCTAGCAACTCTCCATCAGGTTGGACATATTGGAATGTCCCTCTGACTTGAGCATTATCTGAAAATACAGACAAAAAAGAATATTTTAATCAGGAAGAAGGGCAATGAGCATATTTCATATTTCTAAATCTTTACTTATTCAATTATTCCTTACACAATGTTGGAGCAACTTGCTCAGATATAAGCCGTTATTATTGCTGTATAAAAGATACAGGGCACTCTCTTTCTTTGATGTAAATACTGGCCTCATCCCACATGTCAGACTAGAAGCATGTTCAGTTTTTGCTGTTATTGGCTACTGTTGCTGCTTTGGGTCAGTAGAATGAAAGTACCATAAGGTTTTTAAGGCTCTATTCCCATATATTTTAGATCGATCTATCCCCGCGGGGAGTCTCACTAGATTACTTTCAGATAATCCGACTTAAATGTCCGTCCCGCCTACTACAAGCTGTAAGGGGATAATTAACTTTCGTGTCCGCACGGCTGACAGCTATTTAGCGTGAACCCCCAGGGAGTTAGGTCGATCTAAAGTAGGTCGATCTAATCTATGGAAATGGGGTGTAAGTTTTTGACACAGACTGCCTATTTGAAAAACACTCCCCCCAAAAAGAAATGTAATACCACAGGCCTATTTCACTAACTGCCAATTCTTTAGCTTCATACACCATCTTACTATTGAGATGTAGTGCCAGAATCTCTCCTCTTGTCAGTGCATCATCTCTGCGTCTCATCACGTCACGTGCCTTGGTCGTAAACACATGTAGTGCATGCGGCAGAAGCTCATCAGAATCATCATGTGCATCATCAAGACACATATCTATAAAGGAATAATAATTAATTTTAATAATAACAAAAATAAAAAGGTAAGCAATTTTAATACATGTAATGGTATTACTTTTAAGGCATATGCATCAAATTACATCTATCATATGACAATGTGCTGGGTGCCTTAGTGTATTAGTTAACTTCTTGTTGGGATTTCAACTAAATATATAAAAATAAACCAAAAAATAACAATGATAATAAGAAAATAATTAATCTAAAAAGAAGCAAGTAAAATCTACTACAGAAACCCACCAATCAAATACAGGTGGCCATATTGTGTTCCCACAGCAACCACTCCACAGAAACATCTAAGGTGTTCCGACAGCACTTGCAGGGGGGCCTCAGTGGCCAGGACATTGGTTACAGGTTCTACTGCTGTCACCTAGGTGAAAATACCAAGATTAATTTATATATGTTATTTACACAAATAAACATGAAACATTTATTACAGTCTTGTAGAAAATTTAATTAATCTGCACAAATAAAACTGATCTTTATTTGAGTTCAAGCTTTTTATCCCATATTAATTAGGACAAAACAATGCCAAATCTAACAAACTTTAACTCAAAACCATTTCATTTATAAATTTGTATGAATTTTGCAAAAACAGTCAGCCCTTTCATGACTATTACCTTGTGCATAAAGTCCACAGCTTTCACAACTTTGGACGTCTTAACGTCGAACATGCACAGCATCCCAGCATGCGCCCCTGTTTCTAAACCAATCAGAAGCTTTGGAGCATTAGCGTAGCTGTATTCTGCTACGCAGGTGATTGTGGGATTTCTTTCTTCTTGAAGAAGAGCGCCAAATTTCCAAGCCGCCTTTCTGGCTCCTGTGGCAATGTTTATAACTTCCAAGGCATCTCCTCTTGCGATCCAGGCTAATCTGCCACCTGCAATGAAAAAGATATCGTTTCAGTAATTTCACTTGGATTTCAATGCAGGGTCACAGTAGAGAACAGGGGATGTGTCAGTGAATATTCGGATACCAGTAATCCCAAGGCTTTTTGTTTTAATTTTTTCTGAATGTATTGTATATTGTGTATATTGTAAATGTATTTCTAAATTTCTTTACAAGGAAGAGGCCAATAATTTAAAGTTGTTTTGAGATATTTAGTGCCTGGGATCAAAGTGCAAAGGAAGCTGCACAGAACCAGATATCCAGGAGATGTAAGTGCAGTTAAAAATAGCATTCTGCTTGAAGGCACTATATATTGAGGATGTCTTTGCGTGAACGGTTCCAAGAAAATTCCTGGATATCAGGAAATTGACTACCATCGAGGCAAGGTAAGTCAAGTAATAATTTGAACACTATAAAACTCATAGCCCTGGTGCTATAGATTTTTTTAAAAATCCATACTTACTTTTCATTACACCTGACAAAATACACGATTGTGACGGGTCCTCATTTGCACTGCTTCTTCCATTCTCCAGGCAGTCCAGGGAGGCGGCAGCAAAAGGGACCAATGCACTGGTAAAGTTTGCTGGAATATCTTTCATCTTGGATGAGAGGAAAACGGCAGTCGCTGTCAACAAGATAAAAATTGATGTCAGTTTAGGTGGTGTCACAGAAATGGTTAAATGTCATGGAATTTTGCTATTTCTACACTTAACCTAACATTGGAAAATGTGCTTGCAAATGATAAATCAACACGAGCCGATATACGATTTTAAATGATATACACCCGTATTACGCGAGAGTAACGTAACATTATCTTTAGGTCGCAATAATGAACTCGATCGTCGCCGATAAACTTCTCACTACAGTTGATAGATCAAATTTGACAATGAATTTGCTTCATTTGGTTACTTATTTAATTCTGCAAGTTGAGATAAACCTATATTTTCAAAATACTCAAACGTTCACCTTACCTGATGGAAGCTAGAAATCAAAATCGGTGGTGCAGTTTCTGACAACTACACCTTGATCTTTCTCGCAATGCTAATCCTCACTGGCCGCCGCCATTTTCACTCTGCACGTGGCTCATTTTTAGCCATCTGCGCATAGTATGACGCATAGCGGAAGTCAGAAACATGTTGCCATTTCTCAACAAAATAAAAAGAAATGGGCACTACAATTATCCTGAGGGTACCTTAGCAAAAGACTTTATTCACCCATGTCTATACATTTCCAGGCTTGCACGTGAATAGAGAGAAAAAAGGATTCAGCTTTTTCACCTCTTGTCCAATGAGAAGGACTTTTACGAATTTTGAGAAACATTCGACCATTGGTTGAAACAAGGGAGGTCAAAGTAGGTCAAGTGAGCATGTAAATTTCATGGGATGTGTTAGAGAGATCGGGGAGAATCTTCTTTGGATACGCTGGGATTATTAAGCTTGGAAGATGACGCCTTGATCAAAAACCGCGCACAAAATATAAACTACGTTAGAGGTGCAACATGGATAAGTTAGTGCTTCTTGAAGGTAAGTGATCAAGTTGTTAAGAGTTCTGGATTAAATTCTGAAATAATTCGTCCAGTCAGGTGCTGTCGTCTTTCTCTGGACCTCCAAGTCGGTGAAACTCGATACTTCTCTTGGCTGTGACTGGGTTTATGATGAACTGCTGGCAGCGCGAACTCTTTGTGTGCCCGTCCTTTTCAAAGGCCAAATGGACCCAGTTTATATTGTCGTGGACAGTACTGCTGGGTTGGAATTTAAAGACAGAAACCAAATGTTTATTTAGAACCAGCCGAGGCTAGCCAGTGCAGATGAGTAATAATTGGTAATATTGATATGCACTATATGTGTGGATACAGCGTCATGATGAGCCATGTGATCAATAAAGAGATAATTACAACTCGAGTATATTTCCCAGATTTCTGAAACATGATTTTGACAAAAGCATAACTATATTCTTAACTGAGCCAGCACCAGAATATATTTTGACATGATCTTGGATTACTTCAGCAAAACTTTCAACACACTTGTCATTAAACTGGCTAAGCTGTAATTCCCCTCTTATCACATCTGCAATATTTGTAATTGAACCTCGAGTGGATTATAGGCCATTTGTGTCTCTCATAGATAGCAGAAAGCCTTTTGTTTGTATTCAATTACTAGTAGAAACTTGTATCCAGTTTTATAATGTGTGCAATAATATGGTTAACATGATACGGTAATGACTCGATTTTTTATTCAGAAGAAATTATCTAACTTTCACTTTAACCTTGGTTGATTGATGCAATAAATTCAGTCTTTCCCAAAATAAAGCCAAAATCATATTTCATTTCGGACTTTACGGTAGTACACTGAGTGATCTATGACCAGTTATACTATCAGATATATTTTAATCAAGATACATATGCTTGATGTTGGGTGCCACTCGCACTGAAGATGATGTTTATTTCATTATCGGAAATTGTGTGCATTTATGCTGCAATGTGGCCTGGCTCTAACATAGATTGGCATTGATGAGAGCTGTGTAGTACTTATTTTACACTTGTGTTAGGTGTTTTATAAAGACAGTAAAAAGGTGTATGAGAAACATAAAGGGGAGTCTGAGTTAGAGAGAATGATCAATATAAAACAGATGAAAGAAAGAGGGAGGGAGAGAGAGAGGGGAGGGGGTGATGAAGACCCCCCTATGGTAGTCCCTAATACTGTGCTTGTGCTTAATATAGTGGTACGTTTTGTAGATAGACAAAAATAACAGTATATAAGAAAAAAAGAAAGGGGATGGGTAGGAGAGAGAGAGTGAGAGGGGGGAGGCTTGTAGCCCCTATTCAGGTGCAGTATGAATGCTGGCAATCTTTTATCTCACACCTAGTGTGGGGGTGTCATGGAAGCCATACCTGCCAGGATGACTCATAGAATAATATTAAGTATACATGTATCAAATGTGTAACTGTCCAGATACAGGGAGTAATTAAATAGACATGAGCAAGGCCATTAGTGCCACTGTGATTTTCTTTTGTTCTGGGGTCATTGTTATGTTACGAGTCATAGAGTATTTCTAAGTAACCATGTTTTAATAACAAGTGTGAATATTTTGATGTGTGTTTCTCACATTTTTTGGGGTGTGTGTGTGTGTGGGGGGGGGGCTTAGTTCTCAAAATGTACTGATCAAGTTGAGTCAAAAAGTTGAGTTTTCGGAAACAAATTTTCACCAGACTCATAGATTAATATTTCTTTTTTGGTTAAGGAAGGTTATTAAATCACTGGCCTTGCCACAGAATTTTTAACCATCTCTTCAAATTCAATATAATAGAGGAAGAAATGAGAGTTTGTACCCGTTAACTATCTTGTAGACAAGTGGTGTTGATCAGAGAGGTAAACAGTTATATAGCATGGGAATCTTGCACCAAGGGGAAATAAGGTGGAATGGAAGTGCAACAGGGAAGGATTGAACTACTGGCAGATTGGTCAGACATTTTCTAGCAGCAGCATTATTCCTCATAATTATTTTGGTTATTGATGAGTTTAAATACACCTGTTTATTTTGAATGAATCAGAGAAAATAAAATGAAAAATTGGAGGTGTGGTGTCAGTCATTGCTATCTGTGACAGCTAATGGCATATTATAAATTTGTGAAATTATAAATGAATGTCAGATTTACTAACATGCAAACTCTCCCACACTAAAATGTGTAGGTGTAAACTGTTGTTATTGGCTAGGTTTCTTCTTTGTTGTGGTCAGTTCATTATTTGTTTATAACTCCCCTTATTGTGGTCAGTGTTTAATGCAGTCCCATTTTAGGGTCATATTATTAAATAGTGATGGTAAAAGGCCGATAAATTAGTATTCATTTGATAAAAGACTGGGACAGAAAGTGGTTTAAATGCTGTGGCACCCATTTTGTGACAAGTACATGGGTTTCTACTTAGAATTCAGGAGAAATATATCTGATAAAGTTGAAGAGATTTTAAATAGTATGTTGCAAAGTGATAGAGAATATTGGCAGTGCTTTATTCTTTAAAATTGCATTTAATACTAATAACGCTATTGTGAGCTTTAGGCTCAGACTTAAACTTAATTAAATTTTTACTATGTGTTTAAGATGCAATAATGTGGTTGAAAATCGGAAACATTTGAATGTTAACTACTATTTAGACGTCCTCTTTGAAATTGGTCTATAGAATCATGCAATTCATGGAGCACCATGCAATAATTCAGTAAAAAAACTTTACTAGTAAGTATATTGTCTGTATAATGTCTGTAAATTTAATCCCTCATTTGCTTAAAGAAAAAAAACTCTTAAAGGTTAATGCCTTGGTAAATATTGACAAAGGATCAAGTTCTGAGTGCATGTACACCTTGTGGAAGTGAAGGTCTGTTTACCTGCAAAAAAATTGTCCGGGGTCATGATGTGAAGTTTTAGATTTGAATTGTAGTTGTAACTAGCTTACTTGTAATTTGTGTAATTTAAACATGCAAGGAAAAATAAATTCTAAATTTGTCTTCAAGTTTGTGAAAAATGTTTTCCGTCTTAATAAATTGAGTGCATGAAGATATATTTTATTCAGTGAGTACCGTCCCCCCAATTATTATAAGGTGGGTCATGTTACTCCAGATAATTCTATTTATTTAGTCATTCTTATTGCATCGCATTATTCTTACATTTTCTCATGCAAAGATGTCACTTGCAAATGAAGATTCTGTTACAATTGAAAAATGATTCATATGTTTACTAGTACCTTCTTTCTTTTTCAAGACATTCCAAATGCTTCACTCACAGATTAATCATTCAATTATGAGTAGACATTTGACTATTGTGTACAAAAAATACAAATTCATTCTTTTGGGAGAATAACAAATATTTAGAGTGACATTATTCAACAGGTAAACATATGTGGATGTCGGGAATACCACAAAACAAGTGCCAGGGCATACAGGTGAGCGTTCTATTGTGAACGCAAAAAGCAGCCAACCACAAATCCAAGTTTGAACCAGTGGCAGTGCACATAATCAAAAACGCCAGAACAATAGTAGTCAAAGGCATTGAAATACATTATGTTTTATTATGTTTTATTATGAATACCCACAGTTCATAGATACTTCTTGGATAAAAATGAGTGCTGACACCTATTGTGAAAAATTCCAGCAATGTTTGGAATGCAGGGGGGAATACATTGATATACTTTATGTAGCTGTTATTGCACATTATTTAAGGTAATGTTAGTGTCTGTTTCCCACTAATCGGAGTGTATGACGTCCATACTCAGGATAGTGTTTACGATCTTTCAAAAGGCTTGGAAAATGAGGATTTTGCCCTTTTTCATACAAGGCTAATTTTTCCATCTTTATCGAAAAACTGAAGATTTAGTGAAAGCAGATTGCAGAAAAGGCCTATCACTTCAGTATTAAAATAAATATGGATTGGTGAACACATGTAGGAAATAAAAATGTGTGTACATGAGTCTGTTATTTCCTTTATATGGCATAGTTAAGCATTTAAAGAATGTAAGGTGATACACCAGTCAAATAATTGGACAATACCATAGTGGATATCAATACTTCTTCATTTCAGATTAAGGCATTTATTACATCACCTATCAAGTCACATTCAGATTGGATTTCACTGTA